GTGTGACTCTATAAAATGCCATCTATTATTGATACCGTTTAATGCAAGATCTACGGAAACATTAGTAAATAATGAAACAACGTCCAATGAAACTATTATGTCGGAATCTTGTATTGTTTTCCCTGATAGAATGTTGTATATATCAAAACTATTATTTACAAAACTGTCCGCTCTAGGAAGGCTATCTTTTAAAATTTTATGAAAGAAGGAAGCAATATTATATAGAGAAGTATTTATTGAGGAAACTATTAATCTAAAAGGAATATCTTCCTTGTGGATCTTGGTGAGCCCATAGGCTTTAGGAAGAAGAGAGTCGCTTGAAAATAAATAATAATATTCTTTTTTGTTGATGAAATCTTTTTTCAACCATTTTTTTAAACAAATATTGAGGTCTTTTTCTATTTTTGTTGATGGATTGTTTTTAACTATGGTATACGTAGAATCGTCTTCTAGGAGACTCTCAACTTTTTTTATATAAAATTCTTTTTCTAGTGCGACTGTAATGCTGCCTTTATCTGCTCTAGTAAATAAAATATTAGGATTTTGATTGCAGAATTTAATTGTGTCTTTGTGCATGTGAAATAATTTTTCTTGTATGTCCGTTTTTTTGTCGTTATTGTTTGAAAATAATGAAAATTGTGGAATGGCAGCATTACGAATCGAAGTACGATTTCTGATCCCGTTAGAATTGCTTTCTATATCTTTGATGAATTCGTGTATAGCTATTTTTTTATTTAAGTTAACTGGGAGACTAAATTCACCTCCCAATTGTAATAGATTGGTTACATTGGGGGGAATATTTTTATCAGTTAAATTAATAAACCATTTCTGGTTAGTTTGTTGTAAAGGATTATGTGTAGCACAACGAAAACTGTTGGCAGAAACAGTGTTATCAACAATATTTGTCGATGATGTTGTTTTCAATTCGATAGGATCAATATTTTTAATGTACTCTTTTTCATGCGATTTACGTAGCCATAGGAATTTTTTCTTATGTATGAGATATAATTTTTGGTTGAATAAAGAAAAGGAGTTGCAATGGTGATTTAAAATCTCCTGCCAGATATAAGATGGTAAAAGATTTTGGAGAATTTGGAATTGCCTTGACCGTTTTTTATTAAGTGAGTTTAATGTTCTATATAAATCAAATATCTCTATGTTAAGAATTTCAGTTCTGATATTATGCAACAAACCACGCATCCTATTTTTTGATTTATAGTGGTAGAAAACAAATTTATTGTTACAGAAATTACGCAAATGGTTGGGAAACAGACAATATCTCTTACATTCCCTTAAAAATTTCAACTTCGACATTGCTTTAATTATCGCATAATTAAAATTTAGCCAAGATTTAAAATGTTTTAACGTTTCTAGACCAAAATAGTTATAAATAAAACTAGAATTAAAACGATGGTATTTAAACGGGTAATTAGTCCCACGCTATCAGCGTCTATCAGGGAAAACAATACAAGATTCCGACATAATAGTTTCATTAGACGTTGTTTCATTATTTACTAATGTTTCCGTAGATCTTGCATTAAACGGTATCAATAATAGATGGCATTTTATAGAGTCACACACAAAGATTCCCAAAAATGAATTCATAGGTATGATAAAATTTATATTAACTTCTACATTTTTTACTTTTAATAACATAACTTACAAACAAATTTATGGGACCCCTATGGGTTCCCCACTTTCTCCGATCATTGCCGATATAGTCATGCAGGACTTGGAAACATTGGTAATTAGTAATTTAAATTGCGAAATGACTTTCTATTTCCGTTATGTAGACGACATTATTTTATGCACTTCCGCTGACAATATTACATATGTTTTGAACGAATTCAACAATTATAACGATAGACTACAATTTACATTGGAAAAAGAGGATAATCGGTGTATAAGCTTTTTAGACATAATGATCAAAGTAATAGATAATAAAATTTATTTAGATTGGTATCACAAAAAGACATTCTCAGGTAGATTACTTTCATTTTTTTCAAATCATCCGACTTGTCATAAAATAGGAACAATTTATAACTTGGTAGATAGAGCTTTATTACTATCACATCCGCAATTTCACAAAAAAAATATAGAGAAAGCTATTAACATTTTGCTATCCAACGGTTATCCTCTTGATCTAATTTTCACAGAAATAAAACGCAGATTAAAAAATCTCTCAACTAAGAAATTTAACAAGCCTAATAATAACAATATAACAGATACTAATAATACTAATACTAATATTAAATATTTTGTCATACCATATATAGAATCAATATCTGAGAAAGTTGCTTCAGCAATAAGAAGACCTGACGTAGTGGTAGGATATCGTTGCATTAAAAAATTGAATGACTTCATAAAAGTTCAAAAGGACAAAAATAATTGCCCCACGAATTCTAACGTTATTTATAAATTGAATTGCAACGATTGTGACGCCACATATGTCGGACAGACAAAAAGACAGTTAGGAACGAGACTTAAAGAACATAAAAATAATATTAAATTAGACTCTGCTAGACATTCGGTTGTCACGGAACACATTCTAAACGAACAACATACATTTGACTGGGACAATATTAAAATTATGGATCATGAAAAGAATTACCATAAAAGACTAATATCTGAAATGATCCACATTAAAGAACAGAAAAATGGAATTAATTTAAATAAAGACACCGAATTGTTAGACACTAGTTATTTTGACATACTTAAAAAATTTGCTGAATCATAATTTAGAAAAAACATTGGTAATAAATAAATACATCACGCTCTCTATTTTGACATTTGGTATTCAGACTTTGCAACACACACTTGAAATATCGGGAAAAAGGACTTGTTAAAACGATAATGTAAGTTGAAAGATTTTTTAATTTTCTCTGACATTGATTTAATTCGCGTATTATATCCGCAGCATGTTCAAATGTCGCATAACTTGGCATCTCAGACCAATCGCCTTGCATATCTATTGGTCAACAGCGAAGAATCGTTTTAATTTTATATTTTAATATTTAACTAACTTTTTGTATTTTTAACATTTAACTTTGTATTTTAATATTTAACTTTTACGTATTGATAAAGACTGTAGTGCAGTCGAAACGTTTACAATTTATATCGATTCTGTAACAGAATGTTAATTTAATTACCCAGTAAACATTAGGACATTCTATGTATGTCCTATGTATATACATATGTGGATATTTTATATTCTCTGTATATACACAGAATGTGGAAAGTATATACAGCGCATATCGAATGTATGTGAAATAATTACCACATGTATGTACATGGCATATTTAAAGTATATACATAGGTATATTCTAAAGATATGTAATGTATGCCCTACGTATATACATATATGTATATAAATTTCATTACCTATATATATACATAGAATGTGAAAAGTACATACAGCGTATATTAAATGTGCATACAAATATGTATATCCTATGTATATACATATATGGATATAAATTTCATTACCTATGTATATATATAAAATGTAAAAAGTATATACATCGCATATTATACGTATGTACATAGCATGTTTACAGTATATACATAAGTATATTTCAAAGATATGCAATGTATGTCCTATGTATATACATATGTGGATATAAATTTCATTACTTTTGTATGTACATAGAGTGTGAAAAGTATGTACAGTGCATATCATATGTATGTGAAATATTACCACAAGTATGTACATAGCATGCCTACAGTATATACATAGATACACTGAAAAAAAGAAGTTAATCTAACAAAATATTTAGATGAATACGTGCAATTAATTGTAAATATTTATTTAAATTAAGCAAAGATATATTTAAATCATCAAAATACTGTATATTTAACTGTATATTTTATTAATTTAAATATATCTTTGCTTAATTTAAATAAATATTTAGTTGCACGTATTCATCTAAATATTTTGTTAGATAAACTATTTTTTTCAGTGTATCTGTTAGATAAATATTTTTTTTTCAGTGTATCGACGTGATGAATGAAAATAATCTTATAATAAGATTATGTCAGTTTTATTTTGTAAAAGAATTATTTTAATACTTTTTAAAACTTCTAAATTTTACAGTACTTAGTTCAGACAATATAAATTATATTTGAAACAAATGCGATTACAAATTATATTTAAAAACTAAATATAGGGTAAACCCAGGTAAGATGGCCATACGGAAAAGATGGCCATATAGGCTGGTTTTTTTATTTATAAGTTAAATAATGCACTTGTTTAGTAATTTTCAAAGATATTCAGATTATCTTTTCCGTATGGCCATTTTACCCGAATTTACCCTACAAAGTGGAGAATTTTAAAGAAACTATTGAATTGTTTCATTATATCTGAAATATGGAAAAAGTATTTCATACAATAAGGAAATTAATTCGTAAAGATATATATGTGATTAAATTATAGTATATTATAAATTTTTTTTTTATTTATAACTTCAAAATTAAATCTCTTTACTAAATATATTTTTTAAAATAAAATTGCACGTTTGGCAGAGATTACAAATATATGTTTTGTATATTTTTGAGAATTATTATAAACAATACAAAACACAATTTTTTATCACATATATTTTGATAAAATATAAATTTTTAATTATGCTCTTTACTCTCTTATTAAATAGAATATGCTTAGTATGTTTCAACTTTGGACGTTTAGACTTGTATACACACCGCTCATAAATATTTCTTTACTCAAAAAAAGTTTTATGTTATATTATAAAAAAAATCCTAAATAATTTGTAGCGCTTTTCACAATCTTAAACAAACACAATGCGCTATATTTTATAATTTATCTAATTATTAAGTTTTGAAATTAATAAATGCATTATAAGAAATATGGTATAAGCGATGATAGTGTACATAATAAAATAAAAATAAAAATTTCAAAGAACGTTTAAATAAAAATTAAATATTTTAACTATCGTAATAAACGTTAACTTAAGTAACAATAAATATTTTTTGTTTAAGCTTGTGTATCGGTTTCGTTCATCGTTACTTCCCCTTCGGTTGCTACATTCTTCACGTTTTTAGTGACATTGCAGATACGATCTTTGCATCTAACCAGCCAAGATTTGATAAAACTAATAACTTCTGCTTCAGTTGCATCGGCTGTATTCTTGCAATATCGAACAGCACCTAATATAACAAATTAGTACAAAATAAAAGTAAAACATTAACTGTATTAAAAAATATTAATTATATAAAAATATAAATAATAATATAAAAAATTATTATTAATTTTATCCTTTAAAATATAATCTATTACATTCAAAGCAAAGACTTTTTTTTTTAATAGAATATGTGTGAAGCAATACAAAAGAAGCAAAAAAATTACCCAAAATGACCGAACTTATTGCTAGATTTTTGAAGGATTTCTTTCCTTTAGCTCCTTCCCAGGAGTATAGTATTCCAACTTCATTTGTGAAGATTTTGTACATAATTCTTCTTGTGATCTCTTTAACATTTAAGCCCCCAACGCGACTTAATTCAATAATCTGAAATAATTAAAATTGTTACAAAAGTATTAATAAGTATTAATTATCACTATATATATGCATTCGATTTTTTAATTATTCAAGGTCATACCAAATCTTTTTTATTTTGATCATCTGCATTAAGCCACTGCTCTAATTCAGCTAATGTATTTTCATTTTTTATTGGAAACAGATGGACAACACGTGGAATGTCTTTGACGGTTATCGTAGGCTCATCTTGAATTCTTTTGTTTTTTTAATAAAAGAGCCGTACTTTCCATTACATCATTCAATTTCAAGTGTATAGCATTTAGTTCTTTTAATACTTGCTTCTGGAAATCTAAAATTTTTAAACTAATTGAATTATAAAAAGATTATTACTGACTAATCATTTGTGACTAAAAAAGACTATTATTGTTTATTACTAGAATTATATTACACAATTACTACAATGGAATTTAGAGGATCACAAAAAGAGGTAAAATCTTTTGGAAACAATCAACCGTCACATGGAGTACAGACAAAAGTAAATATTTTAATCTTTTTTTTCAGCAAAGCATAAAACTTTTTTGATAACGATTGTAGAAAAAAATACTATTTTTTATGTTTTGAATGTAAAGTGACTTTTGTGCTTCATGTTTGCAGTGCCTGTCTTAAGTATCATTTTCCGTTTTTGATACAAAATGTACTAATAAAGTGTTAATTTACCAGCATCAAAATTTCGAGGAATGTTACATTCGGTCGATTTAGTTACAACCTCGGTTGGTATATTTTGAACTAAGTTTCCATCTAGAAAAATAGTAAAATTAATTATTATATAGAAACTCAAAAATATATTTTTAGAGAAAATAAATGCTTACCACTTGATATAAGAGGGCTTGTGGGAGGATAACTATTAATATCTGATTCATACTGTGACAAATCAGAAGAGTCATTGTCAGACAAATACTTCGTCGATTTGTTTCTTTTCCCTTTTGGTTTACTATGTTGTTTCCTACATTTATCATTTTGCGACGAAAGATCAGACGTATATTTAGCCTTATTTGCTTTCCGTTGAGCAACAGATAGATCTTCTAAAAATAAGATTTGAAGACTTTTATGACTGTGCATAAATAAAGTATTATTATAATAAATCGCTGTCTCTATTTGTAAATTGTTTAATTAGTTGCAAAATAGTTTCTTAATTTTTCATTTATTAATTCTTTTATTTTATTAATTTATTTTATTTCAATAAAAAAGATAGTTTAGTTATATAAGTAAAAAATATATAAAATACTCATCTTACCATAGCTACCTAAAATGTCAACTTTATGAAGATTCCAATCAGATTCTGGCGTTTTCTTGAATTTTATAAATTCATTAATTTTCCTTGAAGTCCAATGCGATGAGGGCCAATTGCATTCTTTTGTATTTTTTAAGTACCAAGATTTTGGTATTGCTTCAACCGTATCTTCATTTGCAAACTTAACGACGTACCAACCCATTTGCAAGTAAAGTTAATATACGTTATATGTTAAAATTTTTTATATTGCTTGAGTAAAGAAAATAATTCTATAACATAAAGTTACAAAACATAATAAATATATTACATAAAAACATAAATTTACTAGACAACATAAATATTGCATATTATTTGATAAAGTTTCACTTTAATATAAACTAGAAAGTTTATTTTTATCTTAAAAATGTATATTTACTAATATAAGTTTATTAAAAATAATTATTTTCAAAACGCAGTTAAGTAAAACTACGATTTAAATCACTTAATTCAAATGAAGCTAATTCTAGCATTTCGATTTATAAATGCAGCATTGGAAATGAAACATATTGATTATTGTAAATAAGAACTACTAATTTTTTATTGATGTGTGTAATAGGCCACATTTTGAGTGAACTGTCGATTTTTCGAATATATTGTATATCAAAAAAAGATGACGAACATGGTTTAGTAAAAAAGTCTTTATGTCTTCTATATTCGTATCCTAATAATATTTCAAAATTCTTATAGCAACAAAAATTTTTTACTTCAACGATAGTTTTATCTTTAAGTTCAATAAACCTATCAGCCTCTTTTGAAACATGTATACAATAATTAATAGTTTTATATTTTTTATACTGAGGTGAAGTACAACCCTCGATTAAAGGACCTCCATTGTGTTCTATAGAGTATTTTTTAGAAGTATTAATTGATTCAAATTCCGTAACATTTTTTTCTTCGATAATTCGACGTACAACTTGTTCCAACGCGTGAGAAGATTTTTGAATTTTTTTTTTCAAACATTGCATATAATTTTCGAATATAAAGGCACTAAAATTATCGAGTGAACCAAATAATCTAACACAATCACTCAAATGCAAAAAGTTATGAATATTATGCGAAATAAAATTTGGCCCATATAGTTTTTGCGAATTTTTGATAAAATGTTTAAATAGATTATGAGCATATGAAATATAATTTTCATAGGAAGAATAATATTGATTGATCAATATTGAACTAGCTAAACTAAGTACAATAAAATTATTATACATCGTGGAAGATATAATATCTTTTAAGATTATTGGGCCAGTATAAAGCAAAAGTAATCGAAATTCAGTTGCTTTGTATCTTTTGCATTCAGTAATAGGGCGAGTTTTTCGAGAAAACTCACACGGAATATGACTCCTCAATCTTAAAAGACGTTCAGAAATTTTACTAACATCACGAGCACGTAACTTATATGGAGGTCTACCATAAATCCATCCATACTTTTTGTTACAAAAAAAATTTTTTGTACCGCCAAGTAAAAGACAATGCATATAGTCTATAGGAACGTTATCAATAATATTAAAATTTGGAATCTTTAAGAAAATACTAGTGCCAATGTGATGTTCAGGTTGAATTTTATTTCGAAATGAATAATCTGATCTTTTTCGGAGATTTTCAAAATCGACAAAACACAGTACTTTATCAATCATGTCTCCTTCTATATCACATTTGGTGCACGAAAAATAACCCGAATGTCCTTTAATAGCTAAAATGTGTGATTTTGCAGGTGTATCGCAAATCAACATTGACAACTTGAAATAGCATCTTATAGAATTGATGTATATTCCATTTTTTGATAATTCTATACATTCGTTTACAAAATCAGTACAAAACTCACTTACATTGGGTTTTACAGTGCCATGATACAAAGCTACTAAAAAAACTTTATTTTTAATTTTGTCAATTGATTTGACAGTACATAATATTGGCCAAAAAGAGCTATTCGTACTTTTAGATAGAGGTAGACCGTCAATATTTGCTGCTAGTAAAATTTCTTCATTGTGTTCAATTCTTACATTTTGTTTATTACATAAGTTATTTAAAGTTTTATTTATTCCAAAATAATAGTATAATCCTGATCCTAGTTTTTTTCCATGTGTATTATTTGGCGTTTTTAAAAGTGTTCTCGCATCTTTGGGTAAATAATTATAGCCGGCTTCTTCTCGTAAAATGTTTAACAAATTATTAAGGGTTGAGTGAGTTACATTTTCATAAATGGCCCATTTTTTTAACTTTGACTCAAAAACATGCTCTTTATTTTCAACTATAATATAACAGCATGATTAGTGTTTGATATGTCGACACTCTGAACGTTATCACAATTAAAATTTCTTGTATTAATAAATACATCAATATCATTATTATTATTTAGGTTATTATTATTATTATTATTATTATTATAAGAAATATTGTCAATATTAGTATCAGGTTTGCTACTTGAGCTACTTTCAAAAATATTTGGTGTATTAGATTGTGAGTTATTAGTTTCTATTTCAAAAGTATCAGGGTTAAGAATATTGATTATAGTTAAAGATTGATTTAATCTCTTTCGAAGTTGTCTAGAAAATTTACTTTTTTTATTAATATTATCCATAACTAATTTTAAATACTATTCAAATATTTTGTAAATTTACTTGCAAATGTAACAAAAACTTTTAATAATTCTGTAAAAAAATTAATATTGGCTATTAATAATGTAAAAAGATGAAATGTGAAAATCTAACAGATAATGTTGTTCAATACGCATAACAAAATATTTATTTAAATAAAGTAAAAATATATTTAAATCAATAAAATATGCTATCTACAATTAAGTAGGTACTTTATCAATTTAAATATATTTTTGCTTTATTTAAATAAATATTTTGTTGTGCGTATTGAACTAAATTATCTGTTAGATTGACTATTTTTTTTTACAGTGTACTATTTGCGAAAAATTATATAACAGTAGTATTAAAATTAGATCCATAACTTTTGTGATGTGCTCCGGTAAATTTTAATACTTTTTAAAAAACTAGGGTGTATATTTATTCCAAAACAAATGAAAACATCATTTAAACATGTACAAATAATACAAATGTTTATACATATAATTATGAACCTATGACATATGATAAAATTATGTAGGAATGTAATTGCTGAAGAAAAAAATTTCAAAAATACACAAAAAAAAATTCAAGAAAACAAACAATTTCATGACATAATAAAGTTATATACTGTAAATTTTTAATAGAAGTTTTATATAGAAATAGTATAAAACCTAGTTTAAATATGTTAATTGTTTAAAGGGGATCAATACTGTAACGGCTTAAAAAGTAGCCCTTTTTGCGAATTTTTTGTAACATCCATAAAGCAGATAGATAAATAATGTTTTTGCATTGAATTGTTATTCTTTGAATTATTAAAAAATATTTTTTATTTGATTAAATACATTTTTATTTTAATATAAAATGTGTCTGTAGTAAACTCTGCATTATTTATCGGTTTTATTGCACCTGGGATCCTTAAAAGTCATTTGAAATTAAAAAACCCAAAATTTTTTTTAAGTATTATATATAAATGTAGTTTCAGTTTAGCGTACAGATTTCTTTTTACAATTAAAATTTCCTATTTTTATGATTTGTACGAAAACGGTTTTTTTTTTTTGAAAAATTTTGAAATTTTTTTAAAAAATGCGCCATTTTACGAATAATGAAGACATTAAAATTTCTGTACGCTTAACTGAAACTAATACATTTATATATTTCAAAAAAATCTTGACTTTTTAAATTTCAGATGACTTTTAAGGACTCCACGTGCAAGGTCGATAGATAACACAGAGTCTACTACAAATACATTTTATATTAAAATAAAAATGTATTTAACTAAATAAAAAAATATTTTTTAATAGTTCAAAGAACAATAAATTCAATGCAAAAACATTTATTTAACTACCTGCTTTATGGGCATCTCAAAAAATTCGCAAAAAAGAGCTACTTTTTTTTAGCCATCACAGCGTTGATCCCCCTTAAAGACTACTGTGACCGACCGGAAAAATAGATAATTTTTAAGCATGGATTACGAAGAAATATAAAAAAAACTATAAACTTGTAATTTAATACTTTATTTAAGTACACGATAAAAAAATTTGTTGAAATTTTGGTTTGATTTTTAGCATAAAAATTGTTAATTAATTTGTTAATATTTTGCAAACTAACAATGATATTGAAAAAATCCTATGTCAATGTTTAAAGAAAGGTTAATAAAAAAAAAACTTTAAGTCGATCCAATGAGTACATACCGAAAAATCTTCGACACTAGTGAAAAAAATTAGTTTTTTTTAACATTTAATAAATGATATTAAAAATATTATTTACGTTTTATTTTTACATGCTTTTATACTCCTCGCATACTTAAATAAAGTACTTAATTACAAGTTTATAGCCTTTTTTATTTCTTAGTAACTCACGCTTAAAAATTATTTATTTTTTCGACCGGTCAGTACAGTCTAATCACTTAACAAAAGATTTCGAAACATTTGCTATATTTAGAATATACCGCTCTAACATAAGAAACGTACCCACGAAAATAGTGTGATCAATGACGATAGGGAAAAAAATATATTAAAAATATATTTCAAACATTATTAAAAAATTTTTGTAAAAGTGGACATGTATTTTTAATATTATAGATCCTAAAAAATCGAAAAGATACTTTATATATTAAGAGTTATAAGGGCTTGACAAAAATCGCAATAATTTTTGACTTGTAAATTGTTAACATATAAGAGAATATGTTATCATTTTCTTATTAAATAATAACATTGAGTGATTTGTTAAATAATATAGAAATGGGAATTGTTACATATTTTAGCTCCATTTTTTTAATTTAGCAACAAGTTGGCGCGCCTTTGTGTGCAGACCTTTAGTTAGTCGCGCCGACGTCTCGTTACTAAGTTAAGAAAATGGAGCCAAATGCAACAATTCCTATCTCTCTATATTGTTTAACAAATCACTCAATTATTGTCTAATGCCAAAAAAACGCGACAAATATATTGCGACAAGAAATATAACATATAAGATTAATAAAATATATAGAAAATTGAAAATAAAAATCTGCGATTTTTTTCTCTCGAATGATTTCTAATTATTATTAAATAAAAAAGAAATTATCAATTTAATTGATACACGATGTTAGATATTCACTGCAGATATTTGATAAAT